AAGGGATTCCTTGTTTTGGGCTAAGTTGTAATGTTAGTGTCCTTGTATCTTTGTATTTTCTTCTTTCCTTTCTTGAAGTTCTTTGTGACTCTTGGAAGATAAGTGTGTTTGTCTTCCACTTGTAAATTTTCTACTGATGAATTAATGAAAGTGTTAGTGATCAAAAAAAAAAATAGAGATTATTTATATAAAAATACCAAACAAAAAATTAATAAAAATTAAAAATTATAATTATATAAACTGAAAGAGTAATAATTATTGTATGATATGTACATCTTCCAGAGTCCATGTATTGTTGATTATAATGTTTCTCTTCATATAACTTATTAAAGTGTGCATTTCCCATGTATTTGTACCTCATTCATAGTTAATTCAGCTTTAGATTTAGTGTTACTAACATATTTATTTGATTTGTATGCATTTCCCTAGCATGTCCAAGCATTTTCATATCTTTCGTCCGTATCCATGCGTTTCCACAGCATATCCGTATCTGTATCCATATCCAAACTGTCTGATACGATACTCGATGCCAATAATTTAATCCTTGATTAGAAAGACATATTTCTGCACATATGCTTGAGTTTGACTCATAAGACTCTTCAGAACCATTCTGTACCATCCAAAGGAAGACAAATTGATCATAAGTCCCATGTCTTGACTCAGAAGTTTGAATTTCTGTCTTTAGTTTGAGTGGTTGTCTTGATGTTAGTGTTACAGCTCATATGGGGCTGGCTTAAGCATATTTTATAGGATCTTAAGTGTGAAAATTTATACTTTAAAATCTAAATTTTTGGAATTCACAGCACATTATTTCCTATCATTTAAGCTAGCTCGTATAGTCATATTGGTATTGTTATTAGAACTGTTATTTATATGTCTAAATATATTTGAAACATTATAACCTGATTGCATATGCTTATTGTCATTACAATTCGCTTCAAACAGCATTAATCCTACACTAGTGCTGGTTGGATCTGGCTGGCATTATTAGTCACAGTCGAGTGTTGTCTTTTATAGCCAGAGAGCTACCATTGACCTTATATGGACTGGCACATAAGAGCAACTTTTTCTTTTATATCATATCTAAAGGATGTTTAGCTTATTTTGGTCATTAAGAAATCAAAAGGAGTAAGGGACAATTACCAATAAAAACCGAAGGGATAATGAAATTCCATAATATATCCACGTTTTGTGCTTAATACTGGATAAAAAAAGAAACTACAAGTCTTTATCTAATTAAAGTTTTAATTAACACAGGTGAAGTGCATATTTTATTGGTTGCAGATTGGATAACTTGCAGGAAGATTGGAGTTATATGACCAAGGCTCAAAGAGCAAAGACTTGATGTTAGCTAAATATATTGGTTCTAGTGGTAAGATTATTGCAAAAAATTGTATAATAAAAGCATAAATATTGGATATTTAAGTAAATAATCCCTATTTGAATTGAGATGACTCCTTAGGTTTACTCAATACTGATCAATTCCTTGTGACCAGAACTAACAATTATTGCCAATGCATTATGCAATTTTAGACACAAACAACTAACTATATGAGACATCTTCCAATTACTATGATATGAATCCAAATTACTTGAGTACAAACACATCTATTAAGCTCTGAATAAGGTTATCCTTTAAGATTATCTATATGTTTCAGTGAACAAAGTTCACTAAGTATGTCTCAGGGGTGTCTTGGTCAAGAGCCAACACTTCTGAATGATGGCAAACATTTAATTTGGAAGTTGTTGAACTTGGTTTGATTGTGTCAATCTAATTTTGTTGTAAATCTCTGGTTTTATGTAGAAGTCATGTCAGGCACCATTTTGCATTGCCTCCTGAATTGCATGGTGCAGCAGCAGTGCCTACTGCACGTGAAGTGATGATTTCTTATCAATAAGCATGCCTTCGTTATTTAGTAGGTTATCATCTGTAATTAGTTGTAAGGGTACTGTTAAATGTAAAATGTACTTATTGAATGGACCTATATTGTCTTTCCCAGGGCTCTTCAGCTGGACAGAAAAAAGCAATGCTGTCAACATGCAGCAATGCGGCATCTGCTGATTCCATGATGAGTTCTAAAACTGAGCCGAACCTTTATTATTCAGCTAGGCAAGCACATTCTGGCCTCTCATTTTCATTTTCTGGAATGACCGGAGAAAGTAGTGTTGGAGATTACCAAGATTGTGGAGTATCCTCAGGGCTTCTTATGGGTGAGCCACCATGGTATCCTTCCCACCCTGAGAATTCATTCCCAGCAGTTAGCAGGGATAGTGCTGTCATGCGCTACAAGGCAAAGAAAAAGACACGGCAGTAAGTATTTCTGCAGGACTTATTGATTCATTCATTCTTTTCTTTTTGGTAACCCAAGAATTGACTATAAAGTATAAACTATTACATAAATATGAATATAAACATGTTTTACATGAAAAAATAATAAAAGCAGAAACAAATAGTACATGAAAATATAGATATGCACATAAATATTTCACAAATCTTTTTGCTGACAAACAGGTTTGAGAAGAAAATAAGGTATGCTTCTCGTAAGGCAAGGGCTGATGTAAGAAAGCGTGTGAAGGGGCGGTTTGTTAAGGCTGGTGATGCTTATGATTATGACCCATTGTGCCAAACAAGAAGCTTCTGAGAGTATAAACTAAACTATACCTGGAAGGAAAGAAGGAATGGATTAAGATCAACCTGGAAAGTTAATATTTTCAGAGAGTTTATATGTCCTTGCTTCCCTTTGTGATGACAAGCTGTATCATTGTTCAAAGGGGCAAGGTTGATCTAATAAAAAAGGCAGATGTTAAAGGTGGGCTCTAAAACCACATGTAGAAAAGTTTTGGTCTTCTGCCAATAATGATGCCACTGTGAGTCTGTGACGAAGACATTGGAGATGCCATTGCCTCCATGCAACTTGACCTGTAAGGGTCGTAGTTACCTTTCCTTTTCCCTTTCTGTTGGTCAGAACAAGGTCTAAAGTATCAACATGATTCAGCCAATACCAGCAATATGTATCCTTTTTTGGGCTAAGATATATGATATACCAATTAACTTTTATAGCAAATACATATCTAAATACAATTTTATGATAAATATATATTTTTAAAGTTATGCATATTAATTAATAATAATGGTTTTTTGTGTATTTTGGAGTTATGTTTAAGCATTCTTGTAAATTATCTTAAAAGTTACATTTATATAAAAATTTATTATGAGTATGTTAGTTTTGCATTGTAAATTATAATCGGTCCATGCCCAATATGTTGATTGCAATGTATTACGTAACACAATCTATTTAAACGTGTTTTTTATGTGTTATACATTATTTATAGCCAATTAAGCTTTATAATTTGTGTTATTGGTGTATTTTTAAGTTTTATTGGATTTTCCTACCATATTCGTCCATATCTTAACTATTTCACCATATCCTAGTATTTCCCAAGTATCTCGATGCATCTCTCAAATTTGTCTTACCAAAACTTTTTGTGATGCTGATGCTTTGAACCTTATATTTGGCCCTTACCAGAAATCCAGCTGCTACCACCCACCATCATGGCCATATTTATTCTTCTATACCTTTCTTTTGTGGGTTCTCTTCCCTGTTTTTCTTATTGGATATCCGCTGTTACACTATGTCAAGATGTTTGAGATATCTGCTGCCAGGTGGATGGAAATACGTTGTTAGATGATCAACTGTGTAGAACAGGATCTTCTATGCATGTTATTACAGATATATTTTATGTCAAAGGGGACCATCAATCATGTAGGATAAAAAACTGTAAAAGGGGGAAAACAAACTGGTTCTGTAAATTTGGAGTCTTATTGGCACTTTGAGAACTAAGTGCTCTTGGATGTGTTAAATTCTCAAATTTAGTCAGTGCCTGTTCTGTAAATGCATTTAATGCTAAAGATTATCTTTATCAGTATTGATCTCAATGAATTTCTTTAGTGATATTTGATGTTATCTATGCTTTTATGAAGAGCAGAAGGTAATTGGAACCTTGTCATGGTGAACAACAAATTTTAAGCACTGCTTTAGAAACTTCAGTGATTCAAAACGTTGCATTCAGAAAAAAAATTTTGTCAGCACTTCTCTGGTTTTGGAATTAGAACCCGAAAGAGAACACATTTTGAAGCTGAAATGTGTTATCTGTGTTATTGTGCTATGCCAATATATGTGTTATTTTGTCACATGCTGAACAAACTTTTATGAATATTGTTGTGCTATGCCACTAAATAGCCCCCTAAATTCTATTCTAAAGATTCAAGATCAATGTAAGCTTTAGCATTTTGTAATTAAATGCTCGTAGGTTTCTAGCTCGATGTAATGACTTTTCATGATTTCATTTTTTTCCTTTCCGTCTCTTGGAATAATTCTAATGCTAACATTGACCTGCATTACAATCCACGAAGAACAAAGCGCCAGATGTGTGATTATTTGATCATTATTGGTGTACATTGATCTTGAACCTGTATGGATAGCATTCTTTTTTCTTTTTTTTTTCCCTCCAAGAAATCCAACATGTTTCCCATACTAAAATGGCTTAAAGGAGTCCAGATTTGCTCGAAGATGTTCCCAATGCACGGCTGTGATATGTTACAAGGTTGGTGTGAGGCACATTCTGTGAAGAGCAAATCCGGTTTCAGCCAAAGGAAAGAATAATGAATAATGATAGAGTTTTCTTTTATTTCTGAATAACTGGTTTCAATCTACATTGTTAGACCTTGGGAACAAAACAGGTACTAGTATCTCCTTCACGTTCCGCCCTGGCACTTCTATTGGTTGGGGAAAGGAGGTAATTTAGGCCACTCATAGGGATGGTAAAAATGCATTTTTGATATTTGGTTCGGAGAGGGAGACAGATATCTATACAATTATCTCTCGTTTTTTTTTCCTATATTTTCTTTTTCAATTTCAGAAGGTAGGACAAATTTGTCGATACTTCCTGCAAGCATCAACCATAAGGCCTAAACCCAGCACAACTTAGCCCTCGCCAAACTTCAAATTCCGTGTTGTAGGTAAGGTTCCTTTTGTTTGCGATAGAAACGCCAAACCAGGATATTTATATACCTCAATTCGCGTTAGCGTTTGTTTGAAACGTAAAAAAGTAATGATTATCAGAGTAAAAATATATTTTTTGACACTTTTGTACTCTGAGGAGAACATTGTTGTACTTATTTTTTGGATACAATTTTGTGTTCTTTTGATAATTAACTTTTTGACTAAAGTTAATGCAATGGAGCATAAGATAGTTGGAGCATTTAATGATGGGCTTACACTTTTGCACCGATTTCAAATAAACAAGATGAATGCAAAAACGGTTTAAAATGTGAACCATGTTTGCATTCATGAACCGAAAAATAGGTAAATATGTAGTGTACATATTTGCGTTTGCCTTGCAACCAAACGCATCCTAATGTAATTTCAACTATGAAAGGGCCTTTATGAATAGCCCAAATATGCTGACCACAACACAATGACTAATTGCTAGCCGACCTGTAACCTGCAGGGATGTCAATGGACCAGAAATCAATTTGGGCAGATTGGATGGACCAACAAGACATTGAATTGGACCAGTCCAGACTTAAGGGACCAAAGTATTTATTGGACTGGATTGGACCTGGCCCATCTGTAAGGAATTTATATTTGCTCGGGTTGGATTGAGCTAATATCTGGTCCATTGATAGAAGATAAGAACATTGGACGGTCCAGACATTAAATTGGACCAGTTCAAAATATTCATTCGATTGGATTGGACCTGATCCATTTGTAATGGACTCACATTGGACTGGATCGGATTGGACCAAATCCAGTCCAATTGATATCCCTACTGACCTGGATCACATTCATCCAGTTGCACAACAGGAACATCGTATAACTGATTTTCCCATTGTGCAGCTGGATGAATGCACCCAGCAATGTGTTGTGGCCAGCAGATCCAGACTCCATTTATTCCGTCACACATTGGGAATACCAGTGATATAAAATATAAGAGATGTTCCCATTGTGTTGTTTGGGTGAACATGGCCAACAATGTGTTTGATTTGCAGATCTGAAGTCTGAACTCCCTGAATTGGTAAGGGTAACTGGGTAAGACCCATTTGAGGGGGCCAAGTTGGTTGTTTACATACTCCATCTCTAAAGCTAGAGCCAGCCGAGTTAGACTTTATAGGTTCTTCCACATTGGATGGAATGCGTCCTAGACAACCATTATTTTATTGGCCCAAAAATTTTATCAATGAACTAAAAGAAAGGGTGCTTAGAGTCACTGAGATTAGCACCAGAAATCCTGATGTTAAAGTTCATGGAATGTCTTAGCAAGAAAAGGTCTATGGAATATGGACTTCAACAATTCAGAGTAGGGCTGTTCACGGGTCGGGTTGGGTCGGTTTACTGAGGTTTTTCCAACTGAACCGATTTGGTCGGGTTATCTGAACTTGAAACCGAAACCGACCCAGTGTTAAGCAAAACCAACCTGATCGGTTTGAGTCGGGTTGGGTCGGTTTCGGCTCTAAGTTCAACCATGCTTGACAGAAACTCAACTGCAATAATGGGGGCGGACCAAGTTAGAAACTTAGAATAGAAGTTATCAAGAAAATAGAAAGTCAAACTGTATTAGAAAAAGAAGACTGAAATTTGTATATTTCAAGAAACCTTATAATCTAAGTAAAAAAGGACACCTAATTCTAATTGTAATTGGTTGT